CCCTTGAATTCCCTTCAACGTCCCCCACACCTCCCCCTTCCCCTCCCCCTCATGTCCCCTATCATGCTCCCCCTCCTCCCCCTCCCTAGCCTCCAACCCCAGCGTCTTCTCATCCTCCACCTCCACCTCCTCCTGCAGAAACAAATTCAACAGCAAAGTGACAACTGCAACGACCGCAAACCCCGTCTCGAGAATAAGCTCGAGGGCATTGTAAAATCCAATCAGTGCGCGATTGTCGCCGGCATAGGTGAAGACGTAGGAGAACCAGTCCGGCACCATGGTGGCGCCGAAACCGAGGGTGAAGCCGGCGGTGAGAATGAAGCGGTTGCGGCGGGTAAACGGCATGGTGCCAATGATTCTGATGCCGGAGACAGTGACGGCGGAGAAGAGAAAAGTGGTCATGCCGCCGAGGACGGGACTGGGGATGGCGACGAGGGCGGCGGCGAATTTGGCAAAGATGCCCATGAGGACGAGCCAGAAGCAGCAGGCGTAGCCGGCTTTGCGGTTTGCGCAGCGCGTGAGGGCGATGACGCCGTTGTTCTGCGCGAACGTGGACATGGGGGTGATTGTGCAGAGGGCGGCGAGGATGCCGTTGAGACCGTCGGCTAGGACGCCGCCTTGAATGCGCGAGTCGAAGAGGGGGCCGTCGACGGGGAGGCGTGAGACGTCGCAGGTGGCGGTGATGTCGCCAATGGCTTCCATGGCGAGCACCATGTAGACGGCGAGCAGGGGGAGAACAATGGGCGCGTAGACGGAGAGCTTAAACGTCGTCACCCAGATGAAGGAGACGGCTGGTGCGGCGTTGATTGACGACGCGGACCAGTATCCTGTTGCGCCAGAGACGATGCAGCCGACAAGCAGGCCGATGACGACGGCGGTCGATTTCATAATCGGGGCGCCATACCGCTCGCAAATGATAATGGTGATGAAGACTAGGAAGCCCAGACCTATGAACTCGGCAGAGCCCCAGGGTAGAGGCTTGGGCGCGTTGATATTGGGACATAGCTGGAAGAGGCCAGAGGCAGGACGGGTCTTGCAGTCTCCCGAGCCACCAGCCCAATTCTGGAACCCGGACTGGATGAGCTTGACGCCGATGAGGAGGACGGTGGGACCGGTCACTAGAGGCGGAAATATCTTCTTGAGCATCCGGGGAGAGGTAAACGACATGCCTATCTCGAGAAGGGCACAGCATGCGGCTGTTCCTAGGATGGCACCGTAGCCGTCGGGACAAGGCATCTTGGTACCGTCTTCAGCGGTGGGACAGTACCCCGTGGCGTACATTTGGCTGAGGGCCCCTGTAGCAACGGGGATAGTGGCAAAAGAAGTTCCAACCACAGAGATCAGACCGGTACCAAGATAGTAGGGAGTTTTCCAGATATGGAAACGGGTGATTTGTATAGAAGATAAGAGGCCACAGACGATGAGCGAAGTGGAGACGAGATATCGCTGTTGGTCTGGGGTCAGATTTGCGGCATTTGCGAGGATGATGGGTGGTGTGATGACACCGGCTAACATGGCGAGGGCATGTTGGAAACCAAGGAGTAGAGCCAGGAGGACTGGCATGCGATCGTGAAGACCGAAGAATGGTGCTGCTCGCCGCTCCTTCTTCATAAAGGGTAGGTTGGGCCTGAAGAGGAAGACGTAGTCATATTTGCCTATGAGTCCATCCCTGAGATATGTTAGAACTTACAACCACATTCAAGTTTAGCAAAAACCATACTTGGTAGTAAAAGCCTTGAGAGCACGCCTTGCTTGCTCTTTGAAGCTTCGCTTAGGCGTGTGATCTGGGCCAATGTGATCCGCCATGATGGCCACGAAGATCCTTGGACAAAATCACTTGTAAGAAAAGGATGGAATTCCTTTGGTATGCTTGTGAAGCTTCTTTAGATACCTCCAATTTTCTCAATAGCCAAGAGCTAGTGTTCGCTAGGGCCCTGGCGATCTGATAAGAGCTGTTGAAGATTGGTCGATGGGTGAAGATAGGGCAACCTGAAGATCAGCAACAGAACTATCCAATGGCATGGCCGGGTATGGAGACACAAATCCTATTTGCGCTAGTAGTCGGCTATGACGGATATGCTTTTTGGCGTGGGCGCGCGAGTGCTTAAGATTGCGGGGAAGCTGTGAAAGAAGAATGTCCCAACCCTCGAATCCTGCAAGTAGGTAGGCAGGTGACCAGAGCTCAGCTACAAACTGCGACTCGAATCGCAAGACGCGCAGGATGAGAGGAGATGGATAGACCGACGAGGATAAACATGGCCCGCATCTATATAGACGACTGAAGTGGTTGAACCACATACTATCACGTACGCCCACACTCATGATACACAATCCCTCTAGGTAGGACGTGCTCAATGGCAGCCAGCGCAGGAGCTGGCCGAAGGATTTGGTGACTCGCCGGGAATGCCATCTCTTCTCCACGGCTGAATGGTCGCTCGCTGTGTGTGTGTGTGTGTGTGTGTGTATGTGTATGTGTGCATCTGCCATGATTTGGGGGGAGGAGGGGCGATAGCGCGTGTGTTGTTAAATCATGTTAGCTCTGAGATACTGATAAGCTTCGGTGTGTAGTGCCATTGGCTGTGCTTTGGAAGCTGTCACGTGATGGGCGGTGGACTCCGATGGGAAACGTCGAGCATCCCACATGTGGGCCTTGGATGTGGTATGGTACTCTTACACCTAGGCGGCTTGAGATGGACTACTTTGGCAAGATGTGTATCGGACAACACCGATGTTGCCGCAGTTTGCGATAGGGAATTGCATTCGAATGTGATTCATCGTTGTTGGGGCAGATGGCAGGAAACTTTCGTCCATGTCTTTCTAGGCTCCCACCTTCTGGCCTTTAGTGCAGGTTGCACTATCAGTAATAGCTTCTAGATTTCCAATCGACATACTTCTACTAGATTTTCAGTTAATATGCTTCTACTAGTCTTTCAATTGACATGTATTCCACCAACCTTGTCGGCAAACCACAATGGACGTATTCTACCAATTCAAAACAACATGTCCCGCCTGCCTAGAAGAATGCTTCATCCTAATCTCATGATTATCTATGCTGATCATTTGACCAGGCCTGACCCTTCTCCCAGAACTACACTGTCGTGACGACAGAACGTAATCAGACTTTAAGAAACGAAAGACGACAGCTTCCATCTCAGCAGTTTTCAAGGGAGAACAAGACCTTGGGCACTGAGCTATTTGTCGGAAGAACGAGACTGCTAATGTGGTCTACATGCAGGACGCTGCCTGGACGCATGGGGAGAAAATTGCTTTAGTCCCTAGTATCTAGGCAGTATCTAGTAGGGGCAGTCTCCTATCGATCTTCAAGCACGATCAAACAGCGTTTTACCGAACCACACCAGCATCTGCCATCGCAATCTGGTACTACAAAGTCTGGGACCGATCATGGTATAGCAGCCCGTTGTGCTGACGCCACGAGCTTGCTTTCAGCCCTACCCGCAGAAGCGATTGAGGCGAGCAGATTACTCTTACTTGCCGGAGCATGGTTCCGGAGGATTTGTTGCCCAGGCTAAGATGGATAGTAGGCATCATGTCGATGTCATAGAGTGAGTGTTGGAAGCGTCACCAGCCTATGATGCTCTCACATGTTGAGAAAAGGAGAGTGGGGGCTTTAGATGGCGTTGGCAGACTCGGACGCAAAGTTGTTGGATGGGATGGGATACTTTTGGTGCTATTGTGGAGAAAAGGTTCATGCATGCATTGGAGGGGCGAGAGAAAGACGATGAGGCGGGTGTTGAGAGGCGGCTAAGCGGATAGACGGACTAGTCCCGATCGGGCAGAGCTTGCGAAGAGAACGAAGTGTCCGAGTTTTATCCCAGTGGCCACGTCCCTGTGTCGAGAGCCCAGTCAGACGGGCGGGAAGGTCTGGCAAAGAGGGAGTGTCCATTGTGCGCACGACATGGATTCAATTTGGTCCAAAAGTATGCTACGGTAAGATAGTTTGCCACTTTGGTGGGGACGACTCGTACGCTGTCCCTGTCCTCTGAAGGGTGATGCTATGCCCAAGGCTCCCCAGAAAATCTGCTGCATGGTATTGTAGGATACTCTGCTGTAGGTATCATTGCACACGCAGACTTCTATACTCTAGAGTACTCTAGTAGGGCTGCATTGTGTCCCTGATAGTGCTGAAATGGCAACATCTACCTATCAAACCGATTGACCATGTGGAAAGTGATGTGGTGATTGTGGATGCTGTGATTCGCTAGCCACTCCACTTGAGGGTCTACAGCGGGGTCGGGCCCATGGGAATGGCAAAAGACGCTTACTCTACCAGGAGGGTATCGGAACTCTGTGGCATCACCACGGCGTGAGGCCTGACCTGTTCATGGGCGGCAAATCATCCTTTTCTCTCTTCAGGCAGCCGGGGGCGCATTGTCTGACTTCTGACTGCGGCACCAGACCGCTCTTTGGTGCGATTCGACAAACGGAGGCCGACAGGGCAGCAGAGTGAAACGGCTGATCCTCTCTGCGTAGAGTAGGAGGCCTAGTACAGTGCATGTTACTGCAACCATGTACCTCGCGCAACAAGGGAGTATTGTGTGGGTAGTAGATGTAGCGGCGAATATTCTCGGAGTCTGGGGAAGAACAGTGCGCACCAACGCCACCCGGGGCAGAGGGAGAGAAGGGAGAGAGAGAGAGAGAGAGAGCAAGAGATCAACGGCAAAAGCAATCCTAGCCCCGAAATCTTTTCGTAGCGTGCAAGTGTGTACAGTTCAGTGTTTGATCTGATTAGTCTGTGAGTCCGTCTGTCTGTGACAAGCACCGACACGCCGGCTTGCCCGCAGCAAAAGGACCCTGCTGGAGGCCAACCGGCAGGGCAAACAAGCGGGTAGCTGCTAGGCTCGATTTGACAAAAGTTACGACGATTTGCTGGTCTCGGTCGGCCATGCAAGGTCCCAACAAGCCAAACTCGCTTACTTGTTAGCTAGCAGGGAGAGAGAGAGCGCGAAATAGAGTAGTCGAGAGAGCGAGAGCGGGAGCGAGAAGGAAGAGAGGCGTGTTGGGACGCTGGGACAAGGAGAGCAATCGCCCATTCCACCACGAGCTTTTTATTAATCTGCCCACCGTCCCCACCTGCCCTTCTTTTTTCTTTTCCCCTCATCCCTCATCCCTCATCCCTCATCCCTCATCCCTCATCCCTCATCCCTCATCCCTCATCCCTCATCCCTCATCCCTCTTCCCTCTTCCTTCTCCCCCCTCTTTCTGCCTTCTACCTCGTCGTTGACTCGCACGTGGGTGAAAGCTTCTTCCATCGTTGCCATCGAAGGCTGACCGGAGCTCGTTTTATCAGAGCGGCTAGTCCCTTCCCTCTGTCGAACTTTTTTTTCTCGACACCAATCATCCACCCACCCGACCCCCTTCGCTTTTTAACCCTCGCACCTAAACGCTCTACAACACTGCAACACGCCACCACTCCACCCACCTCTTCTCCCTTTGTCGCAAAATGCCTTCTCACCAGGCTGTTGCGGGCATGCAGGCCATTGACCCCGAGTTCGTCAAGCAGCCGTCTCCCATGGCCAGCACCTCGGAGCCCAACCGCAACCCCAAGTACGACCCCAAGAAGCCACACATCACCGAGACGCCCATCACAAAGGCAAACTGGTACAAGCACGTCAACTGGCTCAACGTAAGTTCCACCTTTGCCACGGCCACCCTATGCAGATCGCGCGCATACTAATACACACGACAATAGGTGACCTTCATCATCGGTATTCCCCTTGCCGGTTGCGTCGCTGCCTTCTGGACTCCTCTTCAGTGGAAGACGGCCGTCTGGGCAGTCGTGTACTACTTCTGGACCGGTCTCGGTATCACGGCTGGCTACCATCGTCTCTGGGCACACAAGTCTTACAACGCCGGCACCCTTCTCAGCGTCTTCCTTGCTCTCGTTGGCGGTGGAGCTGTCGAGGGCTCCATTCGCTGGTGGTCCCGTGACCACCGCGCCCACCACCGTTACACCGACACCAACAAGGACCCCTACAGCGTTCGCAAGGGCCTTCTCTACAGCCATCTCGGATGGATGGTCATGAAGCAGAACCCCAAGCGCATTGGCCGCACCGACATCACCGACTTGAACGAGGATCCCGTCGTCGTCTGGCAGCACAAGCACTACATCAAGATTGTCATCTTCATGGGCTTGATCTTCCCCTCGGCTGTCGCTGGCCTTCTCTGGAACGACTGGAAGGGTGGCTTCATCTACGCCGGTATCCTGCGCATCTTCTTCGTCCAGCAAGCTACTTTCTGCGTCAACTCCCTCGCTCACTGGCTCGGCGACCAGCCCTTTGACGACCGCAACAGCCCGCGTGATCACGTCATCACCGCCCTCGTCACCCTCGGCGAAGGATACCACAACTTCCACCACGAGTTTCCCTCCGACTACCGCAACGCCATCGAATGGCACCAGTATGACCCCACCAAGTGGTCCATCTGGCTATGGAGCAAGCTCGGTCTCGCCTCCAACCTCAAGCAATTCCGCGCCAACGAGATCGAAAAAGGCCGCGTACAACAGCTACAAAAGAAGATTGACCAAAAGCGCGCTAAGCTCGACTGGGGTGTTCCTCTTGACCAGCTACCCGTCATTGAATGGGACGACTATGTCGAGCAAGCCAAGAACGGCCGCGGTCTCGTCGCTGTTGCCGGTGTTGTTCACGATGTTACCGACTTCATCAATGAGCACCCTGGTGGCAAGACGCTGATCAAGAGCGGAATCGGAAAGGACGCCACTGCCATGTTCAACGGTGGCGTCTACTTCCACTCCAACGCTGCACACAACTTGCTCTCGACCATGAGAGTTGGTGTCATCCGCGGAGGCTGCGAGGTGGAGATCTGGAAGCGCGCCCAGAAGGAGAACAAGGAGGTCAACGTGGCCAAGGATGACCAAGGCAACCCAATCATCCGCGCTGGCAACCAGATCACCAAGGTTGCACAGCCCATTGCCAGTGCCAGCGCGGCTTAGAAAAATTGTCTCTTTGTTCTTCTTTCCATTCGACTTTAGCGATGTTTGGGCGTTTCGGGATGCGCTTTACCCTTTTGACAAAGGCAATAATAGTCTTTTCACACATTCACAGCGTTCGTTTTTAGAGACATCATTGGGGGATACGATGCAAGCACTTTTTAGAAGGGAGTAGTTTGTAGCCTTCTGTGAGCAACTTGTTCAGAAAAGTGAGCTTTTTAGAAAAGAAAAAAAGTTTACCAATGAATCATATCACCATGACTGCAATACTTGAATCCGCTGCGTGATCGGTACTAGAGTGTGAAATTCGCATCTTGGTGAGTTCAATGACTAATCTTGTAGCGGTCGTAGTGTATGCCTCTTGCGTCTTGTTCGTCGCTGACGTAGGTCGTTGCCTTGCATCTTACCTTTAGGTTGACGAGGTCCATGCTCAAATATCAACATGCACACACACAGTCTCTCTCTCTGATCTCCCATCTCTCCCCGTACCCGCATACTCTCACCTCGGTCTGTGCATGTGTACATCCCAGTGAGCTAGTTTCATGTCCAATTCCAATGCAGATCCCGCAAATGGCTTCTCCTTCTTCTCCTTCCCCCTCCTCTCCTCGTGCTCGTTCTTCCTCTTCTCCTCCTGCAAAGCGACGCAGAGTCGGTAATGATGCATCGGTGCGTTTGGAGGGGGGTGGGGGATTGGGGCGCCGGATTAGTCCGCCGATGCGTAGGAGGCGGGAGGATGGGCCGGAGTTTGGTGCACAGGGTGATGATGGGGTGGTGGTGGAGGGTTTGGGGCAGGAGGGTGGTGGGAGGGGGGGAGAGGTGGAGCGAGATGGGGGGTTGGATGGCAAGGGAGACCAAGAGGAACATCCTGACATCAAGTCAGGCCGAGATGGGGATTCAAACATCAACTTCATCCCGTCGCCCATACAACTCATCCGTATCGAGGACATGGGGGCGATGCAGAACGTGGATGCGATTGGGCTGGGGGATATCCTGGGGGATCCGTTGATCAGGGAGTGTTGGAACTTTAATTACCTGTTTGATTTGGGGTTTGTCATGTAAGTGGGACTATGGCTTTGAGATCCAAAGCACGGTAGATTCTCACAGATTCGAAGTTATGATAATGTACTAACGATTCTTGTAGGCAGCACTTTGACAGCGATGTGAGGCACATGGTCAAGGTCAAGATTGTGCATGGGTTCTGGAGAAGAGATGATGAGAGGAGGATTGAACTTCTTGTAAGAACTATCCCATGTCTTGACTTTGGCCCAACAAGTCTCTGGATATGTTATATCAATTTCGAGTACTGACATAACGTACAGGAGGCAGCAGAACGATACCCCAACATCGAACTGCTAAGTGCTTACATCCCAGACCCATTCGGGACTCACCATTCCAAGATGCTGATCTTGTTTCGACATGACGATACGGCTCAGATTATTATCCACACCGCCAACATGATATATCGCGATTGGAGCAACATGACCCAAGCAGTGTGGTCCTCGCCCATGCTACCACTATCAACGCAAAAGTGGCCCACAGAAAACCCTGACTCCGCGTCTCATCCAGTTGGCAGTGGCCTTCGTTTCAAGGTAGATCTACTCCGCTATCTCGCGGCTTACGAAAGACGCACAAAAGACTTGGTGAGCCAGCTTGCACACTACGACTTCTTCGCAATCAGAGCAGCTTTTATAGGAAGTGTGCCTTCGCGGCAAAACCCTGACGCGTCTAAGCCTTCTGAGGAGACTTCTTTCGGTTGGCTGGGACTCCGCGAGATCCTAACACAGGTTCCTGTCGCTCGTCGGGACAAGTCACACTCGCCTCCCCACATCGTCACCCAGATATCCTCCATCGCCACCCTGGGTGCCCAGCCTACATGGCTAACACACTTCCAATCCGTCCTCTCGAGTGAACCTAAGGTTTCAAACACAGCCGTGTCCGGATCAACAAAAACAGCATCCGCATCCCCAAAGCACGCGCCCAACAACCCACCACCCCCAACCTTCAGCATCATCTTCCCCACACCAGAAGAACTCCGCACCTGCCTCGACGGCTACGCCTCCGGAGCCTCAATACACTGGAAATTACAATCCGCACAGCAGCAGAAACAACTCGCATATATGCACCCTTTTCTCCGCCACTGGCACTCCCCCGCCCCGACTTCCCCCCCACAAGACTCACCACGCAGAGCCGCCCATCGTGGCCCAGCCGCACCGCACATCAAAACTTACATCCGCTTCAGCAATCAAGACCACACAACTATCGACTGGGCCCTGCTGACCAGTGCGAACCTCAGCAAGCAGGCCTGGGGCGATGTAGTCGGCAAGAAGAATGAAATGCGGGTTCAAAGCTGGGAGGCTGGTGTTGTACTCTGGCCTGCGCTGTTTGCACACAACTCAGTGCCGGGAAACCGTGCTTTGGCACCCGCTATCATGGTTCCGGTTTTCGCTCGAGATGCACCGCTGCAGGAGGATTTGGCGGGCTGGTTGCGCAATGGATCTGCTGCCCATAATCACAATGTTTGTGCTGACCGCGTATCCCCGGTTCGGAACTCGGCTGTGAATGTCACTGTGGTTGGGTTTCGCATGCCATATGACTTGCCGCTTTGCCCTTATACGGCTGATGAGATGCCCTGGTGTGCGACGATGCGGTATGCGGAGCCGGATGGCAAGGGTATGGCGTGGAGTGGGTATTAGTGCTCATGGGAATGAAAGGAGTGTACGCGGCTGTGTGAGTGGAGAAATGTATGTCGTGTGGCAGAGTGGAAAAGTATAATATCGTGTGAGGAATGGGAAGCATAAATGGATGGTTTGGTGTGACGGAAACGGTTGATATAGCACAAAATCGGTGTTGGACACGATACACATCGTTTTTCACTACTCAGGAGTCCTCGCTCCTAATCGCGGTTTGAC